AATGCAAAAATGTCCTCGGGTGAGGATAAAAAAAAAAAGTAAAGGCTGTGACAGCAATGCTCACAGGCCTCCACTGAGCACATCAGAAAGCATCAGGGTGACATTCAAAGTAGCACTGGTCTGCGTGCACATATGTTCACTGCGCTGTACACTTGAGACTCGTGCACTTTATGACAACGATGTGTGGTGTCAGGTGGGCACTGGAAATAAGGGGACCACTTTGGAAAGCATGTGATTATCTGACCACTTACTATACACCTAAAACTAATACAGAATAATACTGAATATAAACTGTCAAAAAAAAAGTTTTGTACTTTATGTAGATTACACCTCAATAAAAATAAGTTGAGCAACTAGTTGGCTATATTAAAGGAAGAATCCTCATTACATCAACTTTGTATTCTGAATGACAATTATGCTCCTTTTTCTCCTATCCATAAAAAGTGAAAGTTCACCATACTGTTTTTCACACAGTGAGACCATGATAAGGGCTCCCCAAAACCCATAAGGACTGGAATGATGTGGCTCAACAGGATTCCATCTGGAACAGTGGGAGGAATGGGCCGTTCTGTGACCTGCAGCCAGGTCTGTTCCATGGAACAACAAATGCTCATAAATGAAAGTCCAATTTCCAGAAGAAAAAAGAAAAATAAATATTAAAGAAAATTACACAACACATTAAAAAAATAAACTTCCCATAATATGTTTAATCCATTTCTATTGCATCCATTTCTACAGATCTTCTCCCTTTTGTTTTTTTCTTCATCCTTCTTTTCTAATCTCTCCTGCTCCCTGCTCTGTATTAGTAGAAGGACTGTAAGTGCATATCCACGCACGCAGCACACACCATAGAAAAAATGTGTACATTTGTACACAAACACCAACATATTCATTGAAAGACGAAAAGAAATATCCCAAAATGTTTTCTTTCTCTTTAAAAAATTTTTATTTATGATTTGAGGGAGAGGAGTGTCGACTTGCTCTACCCACGCGTGCATCCCTGGCTGCCGGCGGTCTGCGCCCTGACAGGAGATCACACCCACGACCTCGGCGTATCGGGATGACACTCCAGCCAACGGAGCTACCCGGCCAGTGCCCAAAATGGTTTCACGAGTCACTCCTGAATGATTTTTATTTACTTTTTACTTCTCTTGTATTTTCTTTTAATTTTTAATCCTCACCTGAGGACATTTTTACATTTATCTTCAGATAGAGTGGAAGGAAGAGAGGGGAGAAGAGAGAGAGAGAAACATCAATGTGAGAGAGACACATTGACTGGCTGCCACCCAGATGACCCCAACTGGGGCTGGGGACAAACTGCAACCGAGGTACGTGCCCTGAGTGGGAACCGAACCTGGGACTCTCTGGTCCGCGGGCTGATGTTCTAACCGCTGAGCCAAACTGAGCAGGGCACTTTCCTTGTATTTTCAAGTATTCCTAAAAGAAACATTCATGACTCATACAGTCATATACCACTTAACAACAGACACGTTCACAGAAATGTGTCGTTAGGCAATTTCGTTACTGTGTGAACATCACAGAATGCACTCCCACAGGCTTAGGGGGCACAGCCTACGACACACCGGCTGTGTGGCACAGCCTACTGGCCTGAGGCCACAAGCCTGCTCAGTCTGTTACTGTACGAAACACGAGATGAGTGAGCCCGCTGCCAGTGAAGCGTGGCGCAGCTGCACAACACTTTTAGCAAATAGGAGTACACGCCAGAATAATGAGCATCATGAAAAGCATAGTATAGTAAATACATAAACCTGTAGTCATTCTTTACATAACCAAGTATTATATACTGTACATAACTGTATGTGCTAGATTTGTACGAATGACGAGTCAGCAGGTTTGTTTATACCAGCAGCACCACTACCAGGAGTAACATGTTGTGCCGTTGACCTTACGATGGTTGTGAGCTCACCAGGTGGTTGGAGTTTTTCACTCTATAATAATCTATGAGACCACTGTCATGTATGTAGTCTGCTGTTAACCGAAACATTGTTACGTGGCACATGACTGTATTTTTAAATATCAGCTTAAAAAATAATTATGTTTAAATCCCAGATGAAACTGTTTAAATGAGGTAACTGTATAAGTTCTCAGCTTTAAGTGTCCATCGCACCCCCGACTTCAGGACCCTGGAGACAGAACAGCCTGTGCAGCACCACAGCGGTCACCAGCACTGCCTCTCTCTGAAGCAGGCACTCAATATTCTTGTCCAAAAATAAAGGTAATGGTGACTATCTGCTTCCTATATGAAAAGAAAACTGAAACTATCCAGAGAACAGAAAAAAAATTCCTCATTATCTCACTCTTTTGATGCATATAAGCTAAACTTTGATACATGTGGAAAAAGGTAAAAGTTGGCAATCCCTCTGTCTGAGTTCCTGGAATGCTATCCAACTGGGAATCCCCGGCGACAGACTCGGATGCCTTCCAGGACGCCATGGCAGCGAAGCTGGTCCAGCACTAGGTGTGGGCCCGGTTTTCCAGCCTAATCAAGCAAAGGAGAGTTTTATACTTGAATCATTATAATCTGGCCTCATCCAGTTTTAGATACCAGCACAGGTTTTGCTGAACACTTACCCGCTTCTCGTGATTTGGAATGATACAGCGAGTGAAGTTAGGGTTGTGCTGCGGGGAGTTGCCATCAGCTTGGTGAGTGATTCTCTGTAGAGCTGTCCAATGATACAAAACATGCCCTTTTTGGTTTTAGAGGCAGAGCCAAATGCTGTCTCAGTAACTTGATCCAGACCCACAATTCGACCCACTAATAAAAATAAAACAGAAAAAGAAAACAAATCGAATCTCACTCTTCAGCGGGGGACGGAAAGACACAGTGACAGGCAGCAGCACAAGCTTGTGGGACAGATGACGAGTGCCATCCAGGCAAGGCCGTCAGCACACTCAGACACTGCACAAGCCGTGGGTACAACAGCACACGCTTCTCTGCAGGACAGTGCAGTCTGACAGCTGCAGACCACATACCAGCAGGTGCCTGCTGCTGCGCTACTGGCAGGAATTCACTGCCTCTGACCACATTTTGTCTATTACACACACTATTATTTGGTAAAAGAAACCATTGGCTGGCATTATTGATACAAAAACTGATACTATGACAAGCCCCAAAATAGGAAATGGCTTATAAAGCTACAGATAAAAATTTACGACTGTACAAAGCAATCCACCTCATGAATATGGCTCAGGGACTGGGGACCAGAGTCAACTCTTATTAGCCATTAGAATGTCAGTAAAAAAAACTCATTCAAGTTGCAGGAAGAGTAGATTACATTATTAGTTCAGAATTTTAGGAATGAGTAAACTTTAGTTCTTTCCTCAAAGTATGAATAACACTTATTAAAGGGCAAGAACACAAAATAGGAAGGAGCCTCCTAAAAAGAATCAGTACCTAAGCTATGCTTAATGCTGGTCGAATTCCTCAGACTCTTCTGCTGACGTTTCACAAAAGTCCGCCCACTAGCAAAACATTTGGCGCATAATATGCCCTCATTTAAAAAACTGTTAAATACACAAAACACACTCCTGAAATATTGTAATCAAAATATTGATTCAACTACCCTGTTAATGCCCCTTTCAGCCTTCACTGCCACCTGCCCTTCTGTTTGTCTCCAGAACAGACAGCACGTGGGGACCTGGCCCTGTGTGAAGTGCTTTACTACCAAGATCCCACTCAAGCCTTGGTTTCCAATGAGCTTGGTACAGAAGAGAAAACCATGACCCAGGAGGTAAGATAACTTTCCAAGTTATGTAGGTCTTCAATGGAAGTTTGGAGAAGGGGGCATAAAATTGAATTAATTTCCAGGCCCATGCATGCGCACTACAGTGCAATTTCTCCTGTGTGAAGCCACTGAACCCAAGGTCAAAACCACTCCTTCTGCTTGTGCTCTGGACTCTGCCTACCATCCAGCTCAGAGACCCCCTTTCTCTCCTGGGCCTCCAACCTGTCCCTCTTTACTTGCTCTGGCAAAAAACAGCACCAAACACCACCCCCGAATGTGCCACGAAACAAGGAGCTTCCTTTAACCTGTGTCTGCCCGCTGCTCTGTGCAGACCTGACCGCTGTACTCAAGCCAGAAACCAGGAGCCAGGCTCAGTCCCTCTCACACCCAGCTGCTCACCGAGACTGGTCAGGCCAAGGTTTCCAATGTCTTCATCCATCTCCTCCTCTCCGCTGTCCTAGTTCGGGCTCTCACTGCTCACCTGGATTCTGCAATAACCTCCTAACTGGTTCCTTCCTCTGACCTCAGCCTCCCGTTTGTCCTCTCCCCATCCTGCTACAATGTTCTTTGCATGTATGCCTTTGGTCCCAGGTATTTATTCCTGCACTTAAAATCCTTCATTTCTCCTACAGAGCCAAGCGTCTTTCCGTTCACACACGTGCCGCTCCTCACTCATCCTCTCCCACTAACTGCTCCAGGTCCAGCTTTTTGGCTTCTAGTTTGCCCTCCTCCCTCCACCTGACACTGCTCAGGACATGATCGGTCAACTGCTAACAGCAGACCATCCACTGCTTATTTCACTTGACCCTGGTATATATTCCTGTTGACCATCACAGCACATTCTAAACACTCTCTCCACTCCTGGCTCTTTATGAACTCCGTCTTCCCCTTGACCTCCGTCCACCTCTCTGGCCACTCCAGCCTCCTTGCGGACTTCTCTTCTGCTTTTCCTGTACACCATGGCTAACTAGGGGTCCAAACCCAACTCACCCCAAATCCTTTCTAGAATAAGGCAAGATGTAGGTACAGGCAAGTATACAGTTTGACCTGCTTTTCTCAAGCTGTAGCCTCACCCTGGGCGACCTCATTTATGACTTTAATTAGCTGTACCTGACTCCCCAGCACCAGTCACCAAACACCTATATTCTCCTCTCCACCTGGAAGTCACAAAGGTACCTCTGCCTTCCACAAATTCGCGGTAAGTGCCCATCATGTCTGCTTTTACTCAACATGGTGACCCTCACACCTTGCATGATGTCTGGCATACAACAGGCTTGATACATACATGTTAGTGAATAAATGAAATAAAATACATTTACAACTGCATAGTGAGAAACGCATTGAACAAATAAGAAGATGTGATGGGAGAGATGGGTGGTTAGACATCTCCCTGGAGAAAAAAATGAGCCAACAGAGAACATTCCAGAGAGTGGGCGCAGCCTGTGTGAAGCGCCAGGGGCAGGAAGAAGGGGAAGAAGCTAGTGCGAGTGGAGCCCCACGAGGAGGGGCATCCCTCTGGCCGGATGCAGGAAGGCGGGGCAGTCAGGGAGACAGACAGGTGACCAGCAGTCCAAGTTCTAAAAGAATGACAGCAGCTTGAACTAGGGGGATTTAGAGGAGGCGGACTAATAAGAAAAATTCAAGACGTATTTTGGTGAGAGACGATTTGCTTTAAAGATTAATTTGACAGGAAGATAAGGGAAAGGGCCATGTCAAGAAAAACTCCTAGGATTCGGGCTTGAGCAACTGAGCGCCTTGTGCTGCCATCAGGAGAATGAGGCAGAAGTGGGATTTGTGGGTAGGAAGACAGGGTCTACACTCCGTATATGTTTGGGGTGTCTGCGAGACATTAAGGTGGAGATGAGCTGTCAAGTGGACATTGCAGTCTGCTGCTAAGAAGAGGGTCTACAATAAAGGTAAATCTGGGAGTTGTCGAGTCACAGTGTTTACAGTTATGAGACTAGATGAACCATCTGAAGGGCGAATGAAAAGCATTGAAGGCCCGAGAGCAAGCCCCAAGGATCTGGGGAGAGGTGGAAGAGCTAGAAAAGGAGAATACAGAGGAAGAAGACAGAAGGCTGATGTCCTGAACTAGAGACATTCTCTGACCCCACTGCTATCCGGTCCCTCTTCCTGCATGTCCTGTGCAGACCTGACCGCCTGTACTCAAGCCAGACACCAGGAGCCAGGCTCAGTCCCTCTCACACCCAGCTGCTCACCGAGACTGGTCAGGACAAGATTTCCGATGTCTTCGATCCATCCCCTCCTCTCCGCTGCCCTGGTCTGGGCTCTAACTTCTCACCTGGATTCTGCAGTAACCTCCTAACTGGTCGAGGTCATGCAGGAGGCAACAGTCAATGTGTCTCTCACACTGATGTTTTTCCCTCTTCCTCCCTCCCTCCCTCTCTATCTAAAGATAAATGGAGAAATAGCCTTGGGTGAGGATTAAAAAAAAAGACATGGTCCAGATAACCGAGCCCGGTAGAATAACACAGTGATGGAGAACTCGGCTCTGAGCGGCAGAGCACCCAGCACTCCGGAGCGGTGCGATCTGGAGCCAAGCCGCTCCCTGCTCCAGCCCCGGTGTCTCCCTCTGCGAACTGCAGCTAACGTGGCGCCCCACAGGGCTGTGGGGTGAGACACAGGACTGTGGGGTGCCTCCCTGGCCATCCCCACACGTGCCGAAGCTCCAACTGTGCCAACTAGAGGCATTTCCGGAAAGACCCAGGCCCTCAGTCTCCACCCTGTTCTCTCTGCCCGGCATGCAGAGCCCTCTTCCAGCCACCCTGGCAGTTCTTCCCTCCCTCCCTCCCTCCGGCTCCGGGCTCCGCCTGCCTCCAGACTAGGCTACTCCCTCCTCTAGGCCTCACATCGCCTAGGCCAGATCCCTGGACAACCTCACTCTGTCCTGTGTACCTCCAGGCTGGCTGAGCTTCCCTTCCCTGGTGTCTCTGTACCCTCTGACCACCAGCTCAGACAATTTTGTCTCCTACCCCCTCCCACCCCTGCCCAGTGTTGGCCTAACCATGGTGTCTGGCACACAGTAGCTATTATTAATAAGTATCAGTTGAGTGACTAGAAAATTACCCCCAAACAAGTCACCCCCACAAAAAAAGAGGAGGCGCTGTGTTTACTGTGTGGGGACTCCATACACTGGTTTCCAGTTCTCTGAACTGGTCTTCACACGCGTGACGGTAGTCACAATACAGCCCCTGGTAGGGACTGCTTTTTACAATAATAACCAAAAAGTATGACCGTAAGGAACCCGATTTTCAAATTTATTTTTAATAAAGGCAATACAAAGCTAAACATTCAGCATGCTTTAGACTTTCAGTTCCTTTTATTTATTTATTGTTTAATTAAAAAACTTAAACTCAGGGTTAGCCTCCACCAATGAGCAAAATTATCTTGTGAGTAAAAGAGAGACACTTTGGAAACTGCATTAAATGACTTAGGCCTTACTAATAATATATGATTTCACTAAAAAATCAAGACCTAGCCCGGCCAGTATGGCTCAGTGGTTGAGCATTGACTCATACACCAAGAGGTTGCCAGTTTGATTCCTGGTCAGGACACATGCCCAGGTTGTGGGGGCATGCAGGGGGAAGCCAATCAATGTTCTCTCTCATTGATGTTTCTGTCTCTCTCTCCCTCTCCCTTCCTCTCTCTAAAAGCAATAAAGAAAAAACAAATCAAGACCTATAAAAACCTCTATTTTACAAAAACATTTTCTTGTTGAACCAGAGAAAGGCAGAAAATATAAAGATGAGGTTCCAGCAGCTCCATGAAATGAGCATCACTGCTCCTTCTGAGACCTAACGCTGCAACTAAACCCTCCACGTGTCTCAGAGCCTGTGGTTTCTGGGCAAGAACAACTTCGTTTATCCTCCGGCTACAAACTCTTCTATCTTAGGGTCAGGAGAGCCTGGCTAGGGCTGCTGGTTGGCACAGTACTTCATCATCTGGTTGCCCAGTAGCATGAAAAGACTTCAAAGTATTTTACACAAATACCAATTTATTAATCTATAAA